ACTTCCCAGAATAAGTGAGCTGTGGGGTACAAAACTCAGCCTCATCCACACCCTTGGGGATTCATGTTCATCCTAGCCCAGACGCACAATATAAAACAAGCAACCCCATTTTCTTCCCTTGCTCATGGGATTTCAACATGTAGTGCACAGCAAGCAGTGTCACGGTGAAAATGACCAGTGAATTGGAGTAAGCATGAGTCTAACTTGCAGGAGGTGAATTTGGGTCCAAATAGCACAAGCATAAATCAGGGAACTCACTGACCAAGCCACTGTGAAGATGGTGGGAGTGTGCTTAAGAAAAATCTGAAGAGTTATAAAACAGCACATAATTTTCCCCATGTTGAATATTCCCTAAGTTATGCAAAAAATGAAAGCTATATCAGACGCACATATGTGTGTGTGTATAATATTATGCACACACACACACATTTTACATGGATCAAATCCATGGCCTTATGCATGCTAGGCAGGTGCTATGCACCAATACAAGAAGATGTAATTCTCTCTCTCTCTCTCTCTCTCTCTCTCTCTCTCTCTCTCTCTCTCTCTCTCTCTCTCTCCCTCCCTCCCTCTCACTGTCTATGTCTCCCTCTCTCAGTTTCCTATGTATCCTAGGCTGACCTCCAACCTATGATCCTCCTGCCTCAGCCTCTCAAGTGCTGTTAATAGGAACACTGGTCACCACACCCAGCAGAACCTTAATTCTTGTTAGCAACTCACGGAAACCCTAGTCCTCTCCCTGTGTGCCTTAGCTCATGCAATCACTTCACCAACAAGCCCAGGATTGTTCTTTCTTGAAGCATCTCCACCTTTGTATCCATCTACATGGCTGTCAGAGACAATTACGGTCACCTCTAAAACCTCTACGACAGAAACTGATAATTACTACCAACCTCCAACCAACTGAGCTAACAGGCCTCACCTGATGAACACCGCACCCTGCCTTTAAGAACAGCCCTTGAAGAAGAACTATGGCTCTTCCCAACTTCTGAAGTTATTCCCTTCTACTTGAGTTCAGAATTAAGTGTTAGTCAAGCTTCCAGAAAGCCAAAACAATGCATTTTCACTGATGCATTTAAACAAATTATAAATAAGTTCTCTCAAACAAAACAACTCTGGTTATAGCATGGAGGTTTTTTAGCCAAACAATAGTCTGGGCTTCAGAATAAAAGATCAGTTGAACACCTGATCTCTGCTTAAGAAGCCTATGGTTCAGGGGTACACCCATGTAGAAATATTAACATGTATTTATGAAAGCTTATTTAAGTACACACAATGTACACACTTAAGAAAGTATTTAAAATACACACACAAGCATTAAAGATGGGAACCATACACTTCAACACAAAATTGGCTCCAAGTTCAAAACCACATGTCATTCTCATCACACTATTATGTGCTCATAACAGCTAAGCAGTGATCCTGCTTTGGGTGTATTCCTTTTGACTCTGTAAGCAAATAGCAGCCTCTGTTTTATTTCTACAATGGTAAAATGTAGCCCCTTAGCCTTGGGTAAGTGTTGCTTGAAGCAATAGTTAACCACAATGTCAACTCACTTATGCTTTATAATATGTCAGGACATGACGCCAGAGGACAAGATTCAAACCAAAGATACATTTGCCCATGTGTCAGCAGAATTTCACATGGTATCGCTTTTCATAAGCCATGGAAAATCATTTTGTGGGTCTTGGCACAGTGTACCCTTAGAAGTTTCAGGAAGGATGGAGCCAGAGTTCCTGGTTGGTAGTAGGAGAGAACTCCAATCCACAATTAGGGAGGTCATAGTCACCTGTGCCCTTGCTAATTTCACAGAGAGTAGCAGCAAGGTTGCCCTGTCTGCAGAACACACTGCAGACTCAAATTCTACCTCTGCCCTAAATAAGTCAATGTCCCGACCTTGAGATGGTTCAGTTGTAAAATGGAATAGAAGTACCACCATGGGAACTCTCTGAAACAATGCCTGTGACCAGTTTGCTTGGTTCAGTGTCTGGACAATAGCAAGAACATGAGAACTGATAACAATCCAAACAAGGACAAGCTCGGCCAACAAGCCGGGGTTATAGCTTGGAGGCAGTCTCGGTGAAAGGCCTCCATCTTTGGCTGCAGTTCTTGGCATTCCCAATCAACGACTTCACATTCTCCCTACAAATGAAGCTAGTGGGTTGTGGACTCTCTCATCAAACCTTGTCTGCCTGAGGTTGGTGACCATCCCTGTGCTCACAGCAAATGGATAACTTCTGCAAACCTCGTGCTTGGAAGCCCCGCTTGTTCTTTGTGACTGTGCATAGGTTGGGAAGGCAATGTGTTCCCTGCCTGTGTTCCGTATCTAAAGAGGTGAAGGAGAGTTGTAATTGTATGTCACCATGGGTTCAGCATTCCTGACCCTGAGAAAGTGATTTGAGAAGGTGAGTGATGTCAGTCTCTTTGGTCCTGGGTATTCCTTATGGAGGACTGCCATGAAGCTCAGTTGTGACTCCTGTGTCTGCCCCTAAGCCCCAGTGGGTAGCTCTAACTCCGGCTTGGTATGACTCCAGATTCAAGATTTCTCCTCTGGGGAGACTGGATAAGAGCAAACCCTATCTGGATCTCTAGGTGGCTCCAGATGCTGAACGAGGAGGAATCTAAGCTTCAGATCTGCACTCTGTCACTGTAAAGCAAGCACTGACCTTGAGCCCAACTCTGATGACAAAAAGGCCAGAGAAAGAATCTTCTCTGGTGTCAGGGCTCCCAGGAAGGGTGAAGCTGCTATTAAAGGCTCTTCTTGGGGCAGCTGTGCATCAGAGCCTTCTGGACACATGCAAAGGCTCTCATTAGGATGACAGTGACACCACCACCCTCCAACTATTGTGCTGGAGTCTGTTAACACTTCTGCATCCTGTTGCTTGTCTCTACATCAATCCTTCCTAATTCTGTAATACATATCATAGCTGAGCAGTTTGTCTTATCAAGAGAAAAGTCAATCCAATACATCTTGAATGATGCTTTTGCAAGACTCTGAGCAAATGGACCAGGCCATGGGTGATGTCCAGATGGTTGTTAGTTATGTAATCTTAAGTAAATAATAATACCAATTATGTTTAAAATGTATATAGTCACCCACACCTATATCTTCTTTATTTAGAATGGTTCTTATATTCTCACTCTCTCAAGCCAGAGTGGCAGATAGTTATTTTTCAAGTTCAAGAATAGAGTTATTTTACAATGAGGACTATAGGTAACTGGGCCACCATCTCAAGAAAGTGTATAAAAGAAACCCCTCCCCTTTGTCACCTGATCAAAGCGCCATAACCTAAATTCCTGGAGAGCTCTCCATGCACTGGAAGTACACTAATAGGTTTTCTCGAGGCATCAACGTTTTCCCTCCAAGAGTATCTTTCAGGTTAACACATGTCCCATGGGAATATTGTTTCCATGCCCCTGTATATAAGCCATATCTCTTTTTTTATTTAATTTTATATAACAAAGTCCAATTAAATGAAAACAAACATTTATACACAATATTTGGGAATTTGGGCGTCGTTCTTTCCAAACTACTTCCTGCTGGTAAGGGGCGCTGTCTTGGGGGATTCAAAGAAGATTCAGATATCCTGGCTGTAGTCTGTAGGGCTGTTTTGTCCAGCTGTTTTGAATGTAGGATCATATAAGCCATATCTCTTTCAGAGACAAAAAAAATTAACAAAGGAGATGGTATAAAAGGAATGTTAGCTTTTAGAAAATGAAGACACCAGATAAAATTTTTATTTTTCTTAGTTTTAATAACATGCAGTGTGTGTCTGCAGGGTGGTATGTACATATGATTGCAGTTGTCCACTGAAACTGGAAGTATTAGATCCTCTGGAGCTGGAATTAGACAGTTGTGAGCAACCATGTGAGTGTGGGGAATTGAACCCCAGTGCTCTGAAAGAATAACAAGTGTTCTTAAGCACTGAGTCATCACCTAACCCCTGGATAAAATTCTTAGGATCATGCTTCCCAAAGCTTTCACAGAAATGAAATAAGACAGCCTTCCATGGGTTGTTCTATGCTGCAAAACTGTACCCCTCCTCATCAGAGCAATCAACTGAAAAGGCCTCTGGCTTCTTATCATAGAGTTTTAATCATTTCTTATTTTGGACAGTTTGTTTGTTTTTGTTTTATGTTTGCTTGTTTTTGCTTTTTGTGTATATTGGTAATAGTGAAAAGACCTTAATGACACACAATCCGTCCAGTCAACACTTTTATTCCAAAATTCCCAAGGACAGTGCTGTTGAAGGAATAGCAGTCAACGTTCAGCCAAAAGCCCCAGTGTCGTGGTTTTAATAAGGACAATTCTGATGTAACTCTAATGTTCAACTTCCAAACAGCACTTTGCCATGTTTAACTGTCCTGCTTCCCAAAGACAGAAAAACAAGAATCGTGAAGCATCCTAACAGCATTTTTTTTAAGAATTTTGAAAACCAAAATTCTAGTACCTACCCAGAAAATGTATTTGTTTCCCACCTTCCACTAATGCATGCCTCATCTGCCTCTGAAACTGTTTCTACAGAAAGAACTGCAAGCCTGCTTGGCTGGGTTACATTGTGTTTCCAAAGAAAGTAGACAAAGAGGAGGGAAGAGCTTCGGGAAGCATGAGGCTTCCCAAGGGTTCCTTTGTAACCCATCTGCTATTTTCCTGGTGTCTGGGAGACACTGGCAGTGCTGAGGATACAGGCAAGGAGACAGTTGAGGGTGACAGATCCCTAAGGACAGTGTAACTGCCGCACCCAGCCTTCTTACTTGTGTGACAGAAGTCTACTGGAAATGGTTATTCAATTATAGCTATCTCAGTGAATTTTCATGATGCATAAATCACATCCTCGCTGAGCTGGCCACCTGGGGTGGGGGTGGGCATCCTCGTTGGAATGCAGAGTGAACTCTTGAACTGCAACACCCACCTCACAGCCTATAAAGACAAGACGTGACCTTCTGGTATACCAGCACTGGGCCTCTCTGGGGTCACCACCTCGCCAAGCTCCCTCTCTAGCAACACTATGTCGCTTTCAGTCTGCACCTCAGGACTGTCCTCACAGTCCAGGAGGTCGTCCTCACAGAATGGGGTGGCAGGAAGACCTTGGGGTGCATCTGCTTCTAGTGTTGCAGGCAGCTACGGAGGAATGGCGTCTGGCCTTGGAGCTGGTTACGGGGGTCTCATTTCTGCGGCTTCCATGTTTGGTTGTAGTTCTGGCTTCAGCGGTGGCGCTACATGCTCCTTACCAGGGCTTGGCACTGTCTATGGGGGACCGCTGGGAGGTGGCTTGGGGGGGCTAGGGATAGGGGGAAGCTCCGGTGGTGGCTCTCTGTGTATCCTCTCTGACAATGATGGAGGACTTCTTTCTGGTTCTGAAAAAGAAACCATGCAAAATTTGAATGATAGACTAGCTTCCTACCTGGGCAAGGTTCATGCTCTAGAGGAAGCTAATGCAGAACTGGAGAACAAAATTCGAGAGTGGTATGAAACGCGACGGACTGGAGACACCGTGCCCCAGAGCGATTACAGTAAATATTACCCACTGATTGAAGACTTAAAGAATAAGGTAAGGGGAAGGGCTTTAGAAACCTTTTTTTCAAATATCACAATATTTTATAATAATAAAATAGCTTAACTTAGAATTTTTTTTAACTAGATTGTACTTAGAGAAGTTTCTCCTCTCAAAGAAATGCAGCTCTGCTCATCATAAAATGGCTGTACTTCCACAGTCTTCCTGAAAGAAATGTACATTTCTTAACTTTTGACATTATTTTATCATTACGTTTGCTTTAAAAAATGAGGCTGTCTTAAACCCTTTGGGGATTTTTGTTTTGTTATTTGTTTTGTTTTGTGTGGTGCTGGAGAGAAAACAAAGGGTTTCAGGTATGTGACCAAGTGTTCGCTCATTGAGCTACATCCAGAGCCTTTGCCTTAGGAGAACGGAACTGGAGATCGATACAGAGTGAGGTAACCCAAGCCCAGAAAGGCAAATGCTGTCTTCAGATGTGGATGCTCATTTGGGATGCTTGCATTTCTTTGTTTAAGTTGAAGTGGGTGCCTATACAGGTGGAAAGCAAAAGAGGAGCCATAGGGAGGAGGAGCTCAAGAGGGAGGGAGGAAGACATAAGGCCATGTGACGGAGAGAAAGGTAGGCGTGAGGAGGGAAGAGCAATCAAAACTAAGGATATAGGAAAAGCTAGATAGAAACTTACTACTTGAAAAGCTGAGAGGAAAGGGATTAAAAATAGTCTAAATGGAGGAAGAAAAGTATTTAGCATCGCCATTTGCTCCTGACGTCCAAAACGACATTTGGGAACTACCGGTACTTCAGGACTCCATTTTCAAGCATCTCCTTCTGTTCATCCAGATCATTTCTGCCAGCGTTGGGAATGCCCAAGTCATCCTGCAGATTGACAACGCGAGGCTTGCTGCTGAAGACTTCAGGGTGAAGTGAGTCTAGGACACCAATGACAGATAACCCGTCCCTCCTCCCACTCACCACTTGCTGCCTGCACGGATGGCAAAGGAGAGAATCCACATGCTCCTCTCCTCCACTAGGCGCTTTAAGAAGCACTGAATGTCAGACAGTTCACTTTATACAGCTTTAAAGTTTAAGTTGCTGCCACCTGGAGCTACGAATCATCTCTTGATAATGACTCATAATTCAACAGGATAATTGCACCTACGTTTAAACCTGAATTTTCAGTGTATCAAAAGGAATTAATAATATTTTTTTGCCAAGGGGTTAAACGGAGCAATTGTTTCCCTGATGACACATACAACGGAAAGCTTACCATGCATTTATTTTTATATCCCAGCTCCTTTCCCATACCCCACCCTCGTATAGAGAGGGAATGTAAACTAATTTCCTTTCTGTATTACAAAATGTTCCCACAGGAAGTTGTAATGACGATAGTCCTGAACCTGTGAAGACCCAGTAAAAGCTACTAATGAAGTAGCAAGGTTTAAAACTACCCACAAAGAAGAAAAAGGGGGCAGCTATTAGCTTATCACCAGCTAGCTTTAGGCTATGGTTATAAAGTCAAATCACAGGGAACCTTCTCCCTGGGATGCAAGAGTCACTGTTGGTAGAAGGTTATTGCCTCATTATTTCTTCATTTTCTTCTCTTCTCTCCAAATTAGCAAGAAGCAATCATACATACACACAAAAGCATCATACACCCTGAATGCACTATTTTTCCTCCCCCTCCCCCCCCCGCCCCATGGTCTCGTGCGTCTCAGGCTGGTCTAGAACTCACTTTGTAGCTGAGAATGACCTTGAACTCACGCTCCTCCTGCCTCCACGTCCCAAGTACTGGAATTACAGACAGACGCCACTGTGTGTAGCTCTCCATGCTCACAGATCATCAAATAGCCCTGAAGGTGGCCAGGGCCCCGTAGCAACGGTTAACGCTGACTTCCTAAACTGTTGCCACTTGGTTTTCAGGTATGAGACTGAGCTGGCCCTGCGCCAGACCGTGGAGGCCGACATCAATGGGCTTCGCCGGGTGCTGGACGAGCTGACCCTGGCCAGAGCCGACCTAGAGACACAGACAGAGAACCTGACTGAGGAGCTGGCCTATATGAAGAAGAACCATGAGGAGGTCAGAAATAGCTTCACTTTTTTTTTCTCTTTTACCCTGACCCAAAAATTACAATATTGAACTTAAAAAGGCTAGAGAACATACTATCTCTGTGTTAAAATGACTATTAGTTTTGATGTTCTTGTATTACACCCCCACACCCTCACCCCAGCCTGTCTCCCCCGTGTGAGTGTGTGTGTGTGTGTGTGTGTGTGTGTGTGTGTGTGTGTGTGTGTGTGCATGTGTGTGTTATGGTACTTTTTGTTAAGGTTTACTAGATTAGAATACTAGACTCAGGATGGCAAAGAGTATTCTGATTTGTTTCCATTATTAAGAAATGGCAGGATTTTTGTTTCTTTGGTTGGTTGGTTTGTCTTTCAAGACAGGGTTTCTCTGTTTAGTTGTTGCTGTCCTGGAACTAGCTCTGTAAACCAGGCTGGCCTCAAACTCACAGATATCCACCTGCCTCTGCCTCTGGAGTGCTGGGATTACAGACAGGACCACCACAGCCCAGCAATGGCAGGAATTTTAGTTATCTTCATTAAAATTCTCCTTAAGTACATGGTATTTTAAAAACTAAAACAAAAGTCCGCAGATAGTATGTATGCCACATATGCTAGAAAAACATAACCAGTATAAGACATCACAAGGAACTCCGATGTGCGCATCAGAGGCTGGGGCATAGAAAGGGATGCTGGCAATGGGCTTCTGAGGAAACTTCTGCTGGATTCTCGATGACTATGGTATGAAATAGTGTATAAGCCCAGGTACCTCTTGCAATCCTAGCTTTGCAGCAGTTGCTGGAGCAACCTGCACATCAGGTGATTTTCCTTTCTGTAAATTAAAGGAAGTGGATGTTTTAGAGGCAGAGTCAACAACCACTGGTACAGAACATGGAGGCTTCGGTCATTCAAGAAATCTGTGAAAATATCTTGGTTTCCATTTGCTTTTGGTTTTGGTTTTCAATCAGAAGAAAAATAACTTAAAAATGTGCTGATGTCTTACATTAATATTTTGCTTTTATACCAATTCAGTCAAAAATATAATTTTATTATTATCCCAGGTGAAGAGACCCCAGAAGGCAAAAGTACCTGGGGGCCCCAGTAGTCATGTGAACTTCTTCATCCTTTTCTCTCCGTTACTGTCCCTAGGAACTCCAAAGTTTCCAGGCAGGTGGGCCAGGAGAAGTCAATGTAGAAATGGATGCTGCACCTGGAGTGGACCTCACCAAGGTCCTCAATGAAATGAGGGCCCAGTATGAAGCCATGGCTGACCAAAACCGGAAAGACGCAGAGGCCTGGTTCCTTGAAAAGGTAACACCAAGACAGAGATTTGGTACATTCCCAGGAAGTGCTTTGAGCCGGCACAGAGCTCACCTATCCACCCACTTGGCTGTTGCAGAGTGGAGAGCTCAGGAAAGAGATCAGCAGCAACACGGAGCAGCTTCAGTCCAGCAAGAGTGAGATCACCGACCTGAGGCGCATGGTGCAGAACCTGGAGATTGAACTCCAGTCCCAGCTCGCCATGGTAGGGCAACGCACAGAGCGAGAGGCTGCACCCTTTAACTTCCAAAGAAAATATTGCACTCACCGTATGCTGAACTGTGGGCTGCCCCTCTTGTTTTCAGACCCTGACACTATTCCCCCCAACCCCTCTCATTTGCAGAAGAAGTCCCTGGAAAACTCACTGGCTGAAACCGAGGGTGGTTACTGCTGCCAGCTGTCTCAGGTGCAACAGCTTATAGGCAGCCTGGAGGAGCAACTCCAACAGGTGCGGGCAGATGCAGAGCGTCAGAACGCTGACCACCAGCGGCTGCTGGGCGTCAAGGCCCGCCTGGAGAAGGAGATTGAGACCTACCGCCGCCTGCTGGATGGAGAGGCCCAAGGGTGAGCAGACAAGCGGTGAGGTTGGAAATATCGCAGGGACTGATACGCAGTAGACTACTGATGCAGACTGTTTTTTCTACAATGGGAGAAGAGGTCTGTATTAGGTTAAACAGAGAACAAATCTTGCCAGTAATCCCAGCACGCAGAAGGCTGAGGCACAGGAGCCCAAGTTCCAGACCAATCTGGGCTACAGCTACATAGTAAGATAGTCTCCAAGGAAAAGAGGTGTGCTGGGGAATAGCTCAGAGGGAAAAGAATATGCAAATGTGAAGAACTGAGTCCAGAACCCCAAAACCCACATAAATATCTAATCTCATGTCTCCTACTGAAGTTGGAAGGTGGAGACAGGAATATCCCCAGAAGTTTGTAGCCCAGTGTATCTCAAACAAGGTGTAGTCCAGGACCGACCTGGGATGTATTTGACATCCATGTATGAAGTGGCAAATACACCATAACACTTATGCACACGAACATGTACACATATACATGCATATACACGCATCATGCACACACATCATACACACACACACAAAGATTTTTAAAGAAGAAGAAGAAAGAATAAAACAACAAATCTACAAAAAAATGCCTGGAATTTATTAAACACTAGACAAACTATATTTAGCCATTATACTACCTGATACTAATTAATAAAATGCAGCAGTAGAAAAAGACTCACTGTAAATGAACACTTATATGTTCTAGAAGAACCTTCAGATGGCCTGATGCTAGGAATGTTGCATCAGTAGTAGCCATATGGACCACCTCTGTCCAGCAGTAGCCAGCCTGTCATAAACAATAGCAGCCCAATGTGGAGAGAAAGAACTACTCCAAATTGTAAATTAAGAAAGCTGGTTTCTGAGACCAAGCTGCCTCCCCTCAGAGCCCACTGTAGGTGGTTTAGAAACAAATGTGTATTGACCCAATTGGTTACCCTTGTGATGCATCATTCAGTCAAGAACCTTGCAATAGCATCTCTATGTTTTTCTGTGGTTTTATAGACATCCCTAATGTTTAAACTCAAACAGCAGATACTCCTTACCCAGCAATCCCATGAGCCCAGCCTTTGTTTCCTTTCCAGGGATGGTTTTGATGAAAGTTTATCCCTCACTCTCTCCAAACCTCAGACACCATCCGTTGACTCCTCTAAAGGTATGGAAATGCTCCTTAAAAATAAGTTAGAATCCCACATATTAATGACTTACCTGTAAGATCTCATTAAGTGTTGAACATAATTAACTTATGATGTATTTCTGTTCTGAGCAGGGACACAACGCTGTCTCTCCTGAAGGGAAGTGGGCAATGGGTGGTGTATTAAAACTCTCAGCAAGCTAAGTAAGGGGAATCCTATTCCCAGAAGGTGTGTTAAGTACCACACACACTTCTGAAATGCTGTGGAATGTTCCAGGCCTGCTCTGAGAAGGCTAAAAATATTTAAAAAATAATTTTAAAGGTTAGTGAGTTCCAGGCCAGTCTGAGCTACTTAGCAAGACCCTGAGCTGAAGGGGGTGGGGAGGAAAAGGAGGAAGAGGGAACAGAGGGATGGAAAGAGAGATTGAGTGTTTTGATTTGTTCATAAGACAGTATTGAATGAATTTCATTTCCACTGAATAAAACTCATTTGGTTTGGAATGTAAGTAAGTCACTTCCGAGAGTCTAAATTTGACGAAAAGCTTAAGTTGAACAAGAATAAACTTTGGGTTAATAATTGGTTAGTAATAACCTCCTCTCTCTCTCTCTCTCTCGCCTCTCTCTCTCTCTCTCTCTCTCTCGCTCTCGCTCTCTCTCTCTCTCTCTTTCTCTCTCTCTCAGACCCAAATAAAACTCGAAAAATCAAGACAGTTGTGCAGGAGATAGTGAATGGTGAAGTGGTCTCATCTCAAGTTCAGGAACTTGAAGAAGCAATATAAGGCCTCACCTGGCTCCTTGGAAATGCGAAGTTTACAGCTAGAAGTTCTTGCTTCCATTTGCTATGTTAATCCAGTACCTGTTTTGATGGTTTTCCCTTCTTTGGATTCTCTGTTAATATTGGGTCTTGTTAGCATGTCTGAAACAATATCAAATTACGAGTCCCTGTGGCTGTGTTGACAGATCTTCATGGTAAACCCAAATCACCTCACACCTTGCTGGGCCTGAAGGAATCTTCCCAATAGGTTTGATTTTCTGGTCACTTGGACCATTCTTTTAATACAAGAGCTTTGAGGGAATAGCATTGTTTTAACAGAGCTAACTTTGATTAAAGACTACTGGCAATAAAGTGAAGTGTGCCTCCTTGATTACAACAATAATGCCAAGGGCATAGACATGAGCTTTTAAGATATTAATAATAAAGTACATAAGCATTCAGACCAAAATGAAATGAGGTTGGAGATTAAGATTATTTTAAGGGGCTGTCCTCTGTACCAGCCCATTGAGGTTGCAGAAATTTTGTATTTTCCACTATAGGAGATAACAGTTGTTCTATTCATTTTCTAGGGCCTTATTTCAGGCAGTCAATGAGCCCCTGTACACTTAATTCCATACACTTAATGAGTCCCTATAGAATGGAAGCTAGGAGAACCAATGGTAAACAAGACTTGGTCCTTGTCTGAGGGCAGAGGCAGACATCTACAAGGCATGGTGACACCTTGACAGAGGGCTCACAGACGTTCCAAAGATGCATGGGGGAAGAAGGGATCAAGTTATTTAGAGGCAACTAAATGTTTCACTCAGAAATCAACCAGGCAGTGGAGAGAGGAAGGAACTGAGCACCTACAAGTAACAAGATCCAAGGGTGGAGAACTGCCTTATTTATGGGAGTGGTGAGGCCAAGGGTAGGGCTTTATGAGAGTGAGTCAGGGCCAAGGCCAATGGCATAAGTCAAGTTCTGAGTTGAGATAGAAGATAACCAAAGTCTAAACCAGAGTAGGCGGTGCCTTGATCTAGGTTGTCAAATCCCAAGGGCCTGAAAGAAAGCAGGGGTGAGATTCAGTAAGGAAGACCCAGGACTCCGAAGTCACACTGGGTTCAAGTCCTAGTTCGGTTCCTTCATCTTGAGTAACTTCTCTCTGCATGCCTCTGTCCCCACATGTGTGTTGCATGCACATGACCTTGCAGGTGCACACATCCTCAGCCATGAAGTGCAGGCCAGAGCAGAACATTGGGCTCCTCCCTCTATCACTCTCCCCCTTGAGACAGGCTCTCTCACCCAACTGGAAGCTAGGTGGGCTGGCCAGGGAGTTCTCTGGCTCACAGCACTGGGTTATATGTCTGACTCACATTTCTGGGTCATATGTCTGGCTCACAACTCTGGGGTCATATGGCTGGCTCACAACTCTGGGGTCATATGTCTGGCTCACAACTCTGGGGTCTTATGTCTGGCTCACAACTCTGGGGTCATATGTTGGGCCCACAATGCTGGGGTCATATGTCTTCTCTGCTTCTGTGTGTGTGCTGGGGATTCTAACTCAACTCCTCATGCTTGCAAAGCAAAGGTTCTCTTTACCCATTGTACCATCTGCCCAGCCTTCAGTTTTATGAAGACTAAATGAGGCAGGCTACATAAATCAGCAGGAACTTACAAAGTGTTGGCCCTCCGCAGTACCCAGTTGAGGCAGAGAAGGGGATGGCACGTTTTCTTTCTTTTTCCTTGTTGCAAAGGTCAGGATCAAACCCAGGACCTCAGTATGCTACATAACTGATTTACACTAAGCTGTGCACCCAGCCTCAAAATGCTCTCTCTCTCTCTCTCTCTCTCTCTCTCTCTCTCTCTCTCTCTCTCTCTGTGTGTGTGTGTGTGTGTGTGTGTGTGTGTGTGTGTGTGTGTTCCATTAGTGTCTGCTATCCGGAACCAAAATGGGATGGGGAATCCTGGGGAAAGGTGAGTAAGGAATAGTGAAGTGTGACAAGGAATTAGGAAGCCTGGAAGACTTCTACAGCTGAGAAAGACCTCAGAGAGAGTTACTCCAGTTTTTGGCTGGTGTGCTTCCTAAAGTCACCTTCCTCTTAGTGTTTCTAGTGGCTTTGGGCTTGTCTCCTTCTAGCATGCACTCATCTCTCTGGGTTTAGGTATTCTCTTCCAGCACCTGTCATAGACAAACCTGAGCTTTCAGACTCACAGAGATGTCCTAGGTGATGTTCTTTTGCTATAATTATTGCCTATGAAACACAAACACGAGATTCAGCGCCCACGTGGAGTTTATTGAGAGAGGAGAGAGAAAGGGGGTAGCTAGTGGCCAACCAAAAGCAGGGGAGAGAGAGAGGAGAAAGATAGAAAGAGCAAGAGAGAGAGAAGGAGCAAGAGAGAGAGACGTGCTTGGAACACTTGCTTTAAAAGGAAACTTGCGCATGCCTAACTGAGTCCCTTGGCAGCCAGGTAAAGCTTGAGCAGGCAGGTAAGTCATGAAGTAGAGAAGACATGGCCATGAGCATCCCGCCCATCATCAGGGGGCGGGGTCAGCAGACTGCTGGTTCCCAACACTAGGTCTGTTACTGAGCAAGATCCTCAGCCCCGAGTGATAAACAATGTCACTACTGTGCTCTTCCAAAATGCTTATAAATAGTTATTGCTTTAAGCAATATGTTTCCCTTATAGTGACATCTGAATATCTGAATGATGAGAGACTTGAAGGATTTCAAAGGGGGTATGATCAAATGCAAATCTAATGGTCATTCCTGAGATATCATGGTTTCTTAGCCTTCCCTTCTTTTGGAAATGCCCCCCACATCTCTGCAATGTGGTTCAAAGGCATCACTCCCATTAGAAGCCTGTCAGGTTTCTGTCTATGAACCTTGAGCTCCATCCTCCCATCTTCCCGCTATACTTACTCTCTGGTTAATCTCATCTGGTCCTATGTTTTCAACTGTTGTCTATACTTCAATTACTTCCTGGGGTGGCCTCCATAATGATCCCAGTTATCCCCTCACCTCCTGACACTCATGGGGAAGGAAATGACAGAGCATGACCACCAAAGACAATCTTAACCCTTATATTACTCAACCCAACCCTAACTCTTCCCAACACTGACCCCAACTCTAACCCTAACCTAGATGGTACAAAGCTATCTTGGCAGAAGGAGGGAGGTGACGATAGAAGGCTATGGAAGTGACTGTGGTCAAAGTACATAAAAATATAGGGATTAAAACGTTGTTTGCTGAGCTTTGGTCTCAGGGAATGCCAGACACCTGCAGGGTTATACTACAAGGGAAGTCAGCTGTCTGACATATATTGGTGGTTTCACAAATTCTCCCAGTGAGGCTCCAATGGCTGAGACTTCATGGAAAGGCAGCAGATTCCAAATCCCAGTCCATTTTTCACGCTATCTCTGTGGGATATTCTCCAGTCTCTACATGTCACTGAAGTCTGAAAGTTGTATTCTCACTGGCAAGAGAAGCAATTATCACAGCATCCATCCTAGTCAGCGTGGACTGCTGGGACAAAATACATTAGACTAGGGGAAGAAAGTGATTTCTCACAGTTCAGCGGACAGACTGGGTGTCTGCTCAGGGTCCACTGCCTGGGCACATGGTAGAGGATGAAAGCCACTCCCCGGGACCTCTTTTCCATAAGGTACTGATCCCATCTGCCATTAGAGCCTCCCAAATGCCCCCACCTCTTGATACCACCACACTGACAACTAGATCTTAATATACATATTTGGGAAGAACACAAACTTTCAGGCCACAACAATGACATTAAGAGAGTCCAGCTTCTACCACCAAACCACAATCTCCGATTCAGCCCAGTTGTGAAAGACCCCTCAACTCTGCAATACACAACTTGTGAAGATATAGATAGGAAAATAAGTCGCTCAAGGGGCATAGGGAGAGCTAAGAGATCAAATAGCAAAAGACAAGCATATTGATTACAATTATGTTCAAGCCTGAAATTTTTCAAAAATTTAACTTCTTGTTTACATATGCAGTGGTTGTTTTGTCTAAGCTAAGGAAGGGCCTAGAAGATTCAGTATATGCTGAATTGTTATAGCAATCTCCTGCGACTAGCAAGGGGCTTCATATTTTTGAAGGTTTAGCAAGCACATGTACTTCTCTAATAATCGAAGACAAAATGGATTTTAGTCATCTAAACCAACATGTTTGAAGAAGGGTTAACAAAAGAGAGGAAACCACCCAGAAACAACCCCTTATGATGCAAAGCAAGACTCTTTTGACTTGGTAAGAGCGCCACCTGCTGGAATATTTAAAAAACGACCTTTTAAAACTACCTCCTTTGTTCAAATCACGAGATCAGAATATCAGGTTATAACTTTATTAAAAGGGAAGAAGGAAAGTGAGAGAGGGGAAAAGGAGCAAGCAGAGGAGGAAAAAGAGAAGATTACTTTTTATTATCAACTTAATAAGCTAAGACTGTCTCATTTAACTAGTAATCACTCCCCATCAGGTCTACTAGACAGTTTGTGGAAAATGAAGTTAACATTTAGAATACCAGGCAGGCAATCTGATCATCTTGAGTTCTTCAAAATGTACTTAAATATTAAATAAAATGAAAATGTATTCATGCAGCTGAGTGAATGGCCTTTTGTGAAGTAAATGTTTCTTAAATGAAGATAAGATTAAATTTTATTAAGATTAATATCATGGTCTGGGGAGATGGCTCAATCAACAAAGCAACTGCCACATAAGCATGAGTGCCTGAGTCTGATCCCAAAAATCTCAGAGACTGAGGTATGTGGACCTCACTGGTCAGCTGGCTCTAAATTAATGGTGAGCCTCAGCGGAAAGAGAGACCCTGTTTCAAAAAGCAAGGTGGATAGAGCCTGAAGAGCAACATCTAAGGTTGACCATTGACCTCTACAGGTATAAATACATATGCTCATGCACCTGTACGCATACCTGTGTGCACACACAGAGGAGAGAGGGAGGGAGAGAGAGAGAGACAGAGAGACAGAGAGATTAGTATCACAAACTCAAGATCAAACTAAAAAGCCAGTGCACTGTCTGTATCTTTTTCATCCCTGCAGCTGGCTCCAAAAGCTGTGGCGGCACCATCTAGGAAC